CAGCGTCCGCCTGCTCTAGACAGTTCACACAACTGGAATCACACAGCGTTCGCCTGCTCTAGACAGTTCACACAAGTGGAATCACACAGTATTTGTCCTTTTGTATCTGGCCTCTTTCACTCAGCATCATGTTTTCAAGGTTCATCCGCGCTGCAGCGTGAATCAGCTTAATTTCTCCTTATGGCTGAGTAATATTCCATGGCATGGATGGATGGACCACATTTTGTTAATCCATTCATCTGCTGATGGACACTTGGGTTGTTTCCACCTTTAGGCTATTGTGAGAAGTACTACAATGAACACTGGTGGACAGGCTTCTGTTTAAGTCCCTGCTTTCAAAACTCTTAGGTTGCAATTTCTTTAAAGGGAGGAGGGAATGGTTAAAAGCTGATATCACAAAGAAGAGAGGAAACAGCACAGGGAAGCTTCTCTCTGTGGGCAAATGGTCAGTACCACACACTCGTCTGTGTCCTGCGGCAGATTTCAGCCTCCCAGCCCAGCCCAGGACCTCGGTCTGGCACACGGGCCACGTGTGGGTGGCCTGACCGTGGCCCTGTGTGGGCACACTGGGCTCACTCACCGGCGATGGGCTCTGTGGGGGGCTCTGCCTCCTCCACACCCCGCTGGTTCCGAATGCTCAGGGCTTCTTCACGCTTCACCTGAGAGGTCACATCCTGTGCGGGCATCAGGGGCTCCACTCCTGGGGACAGAGGCACACCACTCAGCCCCATTTTTCTGAATGACCATAACCATGATGTTCTTGGGGTCTGGGATGAACAAGGGCCAGCACTAAGCATGGCCACAGCACCAGCCAGGAGAGGACAGAGATGTCAGGTCAGGTCAGGGGGAGGACAGAGGTTCCAGGTCTAGTCAGAGGGGAGGACAGAGGTCCCGGGCCTAGTCAGAGGAGAGGACAGTGATGTCAGGCTCCTACGGGCAGCTTTGGGGGACCCCAAGAAGCAGAAGGTTCTGGGAGCAAAAAGTGTCAACATGTTATAAAGAGATGGGCCAAGCAGCACAGTAAGGTGGTAAGTTGGAGATGTTTGGAAGCAACCACGTGCTGTGTTAGAACTAGGTGGTAAGTGTGACCTCTGTGTAGGGATCAGAAAGAGTTGGCTGAGCTCTGGCCAGACCCCCATCACATAAATACAGGCATATGTGTATGTACAGAATTGGCAAGAAGTTAGATGGGGCAAAGAGACACAACCACACCCTGCTCTCGGATGGTGCACACCGTCCTTATCCACAACAGACCGTGACCAATCTCCTACACAGAACCCAAGACGTGACAAGGAGGCCTGTCCTCTCATGGTGGCCTACAGTGTGAAGCACTGTCCCCTGCAGGGGATGGCAGTGGAGGAGGAAGCAGGAGACTTAGATTCTGGTTCCAACTCTGCCACCAGCTCAGAGAACAGTCACCGAGCCTCTGTAGGTTTTGGTCCCCCATATCCTCTGCACCTAAAGACACTTGTTCTATCCAGAGCAGAGTGGTGGCATGATAACTCAATGGGCTGCTGAGGCTATAGTGCCCTCAATGTTAGAAGCTACCATGTAATACCAGTATGCCCCCGGTATGGCAAAGGACTGGGCAGTGTTTCGTTCTGTTGTACGTAGGGCCACTATGAATTGGAACTGACTCTACAGCACCTAACAACAACAACAATGTGCCCCTCGGCTGGACTCGGACACACGCAGTGCTTGGTTCAGACCGGGAAGGAGCCGTTTGTATGAAACGTCCATAGAGACCAGGGGAGGGAATGGGGAATGACTGCTAATGGGTACGAGGTTTCTATTTGGGGTGATGGAAAGTTTCTGAAACTAGATGGTAGTGATGGTTGAATTACTGAATTGTCTACTTTAAAAAGGTGATGTTTGTGGTTTGTGAATTATATCCCAACGACAAGAAAAGGCTGGGAAGGAGAGAAGGCTACCTTTAGAACCACCTTCTAAGGGAAGCATCATCTTGGAAGTAGGGTCTCCATTGAAGAGAAGGAAGGGCAGAGGGCACAGGGAGAAGAAAGCTCACACCAGGCACAGAATAAACACAGCTCAGGCACCAGATTTCACCAAGACCAACATGGCTGAGTGAACTGTGGCTCCAGAGCTAAAAGACTTCTTTAAGACCCCTTGGTGAATCGGAGCAGAGCCAGGACCCCAGAACCTTCCATTCCCGTGAAGGCAGACCAAGTGCAACATTCCCAGAGAACTGGGTTTCTTCAGGACTTAAGACTCCTTCCTGAGCAAGGAAAGGGCTCTGCAGATGAGTCTGTGGTGTGTGGTGCATGTGTGTCTGTGAAAGAAGGTGATGAAGAGACTGTGGGTTACCCCCACACCAGAGGGCTGGACTGAGCCCAAACTACCACTGTAGACTCCCTTTTATCTCTTCTGCCACCCCCACCCCAATCCTGGGTCTGGGGTGCTTAGGGTGCTCCCAAATCTAGGGCCTCTCACTGCAGGTCCATCCAGGCCTGGGACCTACTCCACCCAACTTACCTGTGATTCCAGAGCTACAATGCTTTAACCCAAGACAAATGCCCACCATGGGACCCCAGGCCCTGACGTCTCTTCCCATAAGTGACTGGCCCCCGTGAGCGGCTCCAGAGAGGCGCTCTCCTGAACGTACGCGCGGACAGAGGGCAGGGGCAGCTGGCCTCTCCTCTTCTGTCCTCCTGCAATCTGGGGCTACCATGGCCACCATCACCTGTGTCCGGATCCATTGGGATGTCTCTCTCTTCGGGATTTCGCTGCTCCCACACACACGGCTCTTCCCTTGGCTCGACCTGGGGCGGAGCATCTGGTTTGGGGGCTGGGTCCTCCGCATCTGAAACAAGCCGGGAGGGAAGGAAGTGCTGGGAGGGGTTTACCAGAGTCCAGATCTGGGATGATGGCAGACCTCCACCCACCCCAACCTCCCATCCCTCCAGGGCTTCGGGTGGTGTCAGTTATGTGAGTAAGTCAGGCGGAAAACAAGTCAACAGATCCCAGAATCATTAGTGCAGAAATAGCCGGTGTCTGGAAGCCAACTGCAGACCAAGGCTGTGGGGACCCAGCAGGGTCAAGGGCCTGGGTGGTGAGGTGTATGAGATGCTACCTGGCTGAACAGTAGTGTTGCGTCAAGGTCTATGCAACAGGCCACGTTACGGGGTTTTTTATTTTCACCCCATTGTAAATCCTGTCTTCCTGGCCTATGAACTAATAATCTTTAGAGGCTCCCTTTGGTATAAACATGAAGCAGCTTGCCCCAGGGGTGTGAATGTTGGTTAACAAGCATTTCACGGCCTCTCTGGGGAGGGATCTCCCTCGAAGGCAGGCATCCTTACCCAGGGACATCAGGGTTTTGTAGTTTTCCTTGATCAGGTTGTTGTAGAGCTCCTTCTGCCATCCATCCAGGCTCTTCCACTCATCCTCCGAGAAATAGACGGCAATGTCGACAAAGGTCACTGGAACCTGGGACAGCAAGAGTGTGGCTCTAGTGCCTCCTGAACTGGCCGTCCGCACACAGACCCCCTGCTGCTGCAGGACCAGCTCTGCCCTGGTCCTCACCCTCCAAACCCTAGCCTGGCTTGTCCCATTTCAGTGGAGTCTGTCCACTCCACTCTTGATATCCTCCAGCTTCCAACAACACTCATGGTCAACGCTGCCTCACTTGGTGGGGGCGGCATTTCACCAAACCCCGTCCTGCTTCGTTACCTCACTTTAGGTCAAAGGGTACCTGGAGGTGCAGCTGCACTCAGTGTGGGCTGTGGGCACAAGGTGACAGAGTGTGCTAGGTTCTCAGAGTGGCATTGTCAGCCACGTGCAGTAAACCGTGCTGTAAACCTGTCTCAGGCCAAGCCACCTCTGGGTGCACAGTGACACACTCCTCACTCAGATGAGTGGGCTCTGAGGGTATGAGCTAAAGCACAGGCTCTCTCTTCTGCTCATCGCTGTATCCCAAGCCTCTAGAAGCCCAGAGTAGGGGGTCAATACATGTTTGTTGGATTTGTTGAAAGTTCTGCTGTCACCTAAGTCTTTGATGATTCATAGTGTTCTGGTCTGTTCTAGAAAGCTGTTTTTTCCATCTGACAAGGACCCTCCCCTAAACTCCTGCCAGCCGCTTGCCACCAAGGCCTTGCCTTGGACAGACTGTTCCAAATGGGCTCACTTCCAGGACGGTAGTGTGGGGCTTCCCTTCTCCACCACGACATCTCATCTGTACCTTTACATCTGGAGCCAGCTGTTCCAGCTCAATCTGAAATCTGCCCGCCAGCCTTGGCCATCAGCCTCTCACCACTGCAGGGCTCTTCTGTGTGAATGGGAGAAGGGTGCCCCCTGGCAAGTCACCCTGGGCAGGGAGACACCCCTGTCCCCACCGAAGGACACTTCACTGTCCATCTCCAGAACCAAAACGAGAACTTTCAACAACCTTTACCTCCCCTGTCCTCTAGGGCAAATCCCCAGCCTGGAAAGTTGCAGACCCTATCTTCATTTTAACGCCCTGTTGCCAGATAAAATTCAGTGAACTCTGCAGGCCACGCCCACCATAAACTCTCCGGCTCACCTCACCTGCTTAAGAAGCCTCTCCTGGTCCCTGTGGACACCCTGCTGTGTTCCCTGGGGTGCTGGTTTCAGACTAGCTCACTCGCCAAGCTCTCACCGCCTCCCCCTTCTCATCGCCTGTCTTTGGTCTCCTGTCTTTGGTCTCGGGAAGGTGACCAGTGCCCTCCTGCCGAGCCAACACCCCTGATACAGCCCCTCACTTCTCCCCCACCTCCTGCCTGGGGAATGCAATCTAACAACCTCTTTCACATCTTGAGTTTCTCCTCTCTACTGGCTCCTGCCCTTCAGGGTCACCCCAACCTAAGAAGAACCTCATCAGCTCGCCACCTCCCGTTATCTCCCTCTTTGCATTCACTGAAATATCCTGAGAGACAAACAGGTCTGTGTTTTCTCCCTCACAATCCATGCTCACTTAACCCCTGGAAAAATGCCCGTGCACCCTCTGCTCTGAAACCACGGACTTGATGGCCCTCATTGGTGACCTCTCCGTCAACTCTCACCCTTTCTGACCTGCCTGAAATATGGGGCACTGAAGTCACATGCCACCATCCTGGAATATTCCGTAACTGCTGCCTCCTGTCCCCAGGGTGTCTCTTCACTGCACCCTCCCCTCCTCCAGACCCAAGGCTGCCCCGGCCCTCCCTGTGTCTTCACTTCTCCAGTGGCGATTCCATTCTTCCCCCAACTTTAACCACTGCCTCTCTGCAGGTGACACTCTGTAAGTTTCCAGCTCCCTTCCAAGTTCACATTTTCAACAGCCTTCTGAGTAGCTTCATTTGATCATCTTTTAAGTACCTCAAACTAAGTGGATCTAAACCCAAACGCATCATCTTCCCCAACATACCAACTTCTCTGTCTCACTTTGCCATTTCTGTGAAGAACTCTGGGATCATATTCTCACAGTTGCAAATACACATCACTTCTTTGCAACTTCACCAAGTACCTTCAGAGACTTACTACATGCTCAGCACTGTGCTGGGATGCAGCAGATGTCTGAGACAGTCCTAGACTGCAGGGAGCCCACCGTCTAGCAGGACAGAAACGACTACCCATGTGCTACGCAGGAATCAATGAGCAGACACAGTATAATCCAAAAGGCACAAAGGATCAGAAGAATAACATCCTTCCTAGACTCTGACAGATAAAGAGAATGTGCCTAGCACGCCCAAGAGCACACCGTCGGTTATAACTATTGCTAACAACATTGATTAACAATCTCGTGGTGCGTTATCTTTGTGAAGGTTAAAAATATGTTCCCAAGTTCTTTGACAGTCCCTTCAGAAGGTGGAGCCAAGTCCTCCTTCCCTCGAGTATGGGTAGGACTCAGGGACTCACTTCTAACAAGTAAATAAAGCAGAGCTGGCAGTGTACAACTTCCAAGACTATGTCATAAAAGACGTTGTGGCTTCCATCTTGGTCTCTCTCTCAGATCACTCCCTCTGGGGGAAGCTAGCTGATGTCATGAGGACACTCAAGCAGCCCACATGGTGAGGAACCGAGGCCCCTTACCAACATCCAATGAGGAACTGAGGCCCTCTTCCAACAGCCAATGAGGAACTGAGGTCCCCTGCCAACAGCCAGTGAGGACTGAGGCCTCCTGCCAACAGCCAATGGCAAACTAAGGCTTCTTGTCAACAGCCAAGTGAGTGCAGCCATCTTGGAAGTGGATCCCCCAGCCCCAGTCAACCCTTCAAATAATGTAGCTCCAGCCAAAAGCTTGAATGTAACTTCATGACAGACTCTGAGAACTAGCTAAGCTGCTCCCAAATTCTTGACCCACAGAAACTGTGAAATGATAAATATTTGTTGTTTTAGGCTGCTGAATTTTGGGGAAATTTGTTACACAGCAATAGGGAGTACAATGATTTACATAGTATTTTCCTATTGTGGTGAAATGAGTTCCTTTATGTGGCCTTTTGCCTTGGTTCTTTGGAAAAACAGCTTCAGAGATTTTTTCCCCTAAGCCCTGAGGAGTTATCTTTGCCCTAGTTTTGTACCTCAGAGAGTTTGATACTTTTGTCGAGGGTGATTGATATTTCCTCCGTAAACTGTAAACAACTTGATAGTTTGATACTTTTTGTCTGGCCGTGGGCTGCAGCCTGCCCTGTGATGGTCTGTTTTACCCACCTTGCAGGGATTGGTCAATATACTTACGCAAACAAAGTGGCTATAGCCTACTATGGATTACACCTCAACATAAAGAAAACAAAAATCTTCACGACTGGACCAATAAGCAACATCATGATAAACAGAGAAAAGATTGAAGTTGTCAAGGATTTCATTTTACTTGGATCCACGATCAACGCCCATGCAAGCAGCAGTCAAGAAATCAAATGATGTATTGCATTGGGCAAATCTGCTGCAAAAGACCTCTTTAAAGTGTTGAAAAGCAAAGATGTCACTTGGAGGACTAACGTGCGCCTGACCCAAGCCATGGTATTTTCAATCGCCCCATATGCATCTGAAAGTTGGACAATGAATAAGGAAGACCAAAGAAGAATTGATGCCTTTGAATTATGGTGTTGGCAAAGAATATTGAATATACCATGGACTGCCAGAAGAACAAACACATCTGTCTTGGAAGTACAGCCAGAATGCTCCTTAGAAGGGAGAATGGCAAGACTTTGTCTCACGTACTTCGGACATGTTATCAGGAGGGAAACATCCCTGGAGAATGACATCATGCTTGGTAAAGGAGAGGGTCAGTGAAAAAGAAGAAGACCCTCACAAGAGGGACTGACACGGTGGCTGCAACAATGGGCTCAAACATAGTAACGATTATGAGGATGGTGCAGGACCAGGCAATGTTTTGTTCTGTGTGCATGGGGTCAACCATGAGTCAGAACTGACTCCACAGCACCTAACAACAATAGCCTACTATGCAGGTGAAGTGACAGTGGCCTACCAAGAGGGGATTGGTCAGTTCGTGGCCCCGGCGGGAGGGCCATGTGTTGAAATTGACAAGGAGTTTGCTTATATACTCCACAGAGATTGGCACACAAAGAAAGGAGAAAAGGCAAGACAGGTGAGAAGAGAGAAGAGAAAAGAAGCAGAGAGAGAGGAGGCAAGGAACCTCCTAAAAGAGCTATAACACCAAAGATAGCGAGAGGCCCTGTGGCAGAGTCAGTGGTAATGGCAGAAGCCCGCTGCTGGGAATGCCCCTAAGAGAGCTTAATAAAACTGCTACACTGGCTGTGAGCTGGGTCAGTCAGCAGTGGGGAGACCTGAGCTGTACCCTGTTACTTCCTTAATAAACCACTTAACCGTTACGTGTGGTCTGTGAGTTCTGTGCGGCCATTCCAACGAATTATCGTACCCATCAGAGACGCAGAGCATGGGGTAGGGAGGATGGCTGGTGTCAGAATTGGTAAAAAGGTGGGAGGGTGGAAGGCTCACCTCCACCTCATAGGGATCAGCCTTGGGCTGATCCTGGTCATTATCCCCCTGAGGTTAGACAGGTTATCACACTACCAGTACCACCTTTTTACACCTATAAATAAAATCACTCCTCACAGCTCCATAAAGCAAGCACCCTTCACATCTCATTTTACAGTTGTGAACACTGAAACTCAGACCAGCGGGGACTCATTGAGACTCTGCTTCTTTCAAAAGGAGTTGGGGAGGCTCGAATACAACAAAAAACATGCTTGTCCGATGATATGAAAACCAGCATATGGCAGAGTCGGGATTCAAACCCGAGTCGTCTGATTCCAGAGCCACAGCCACCCCTTCATCTCTCGAGAGCTCGTGTCCAGGGCACCGGGCACACAAGAGGACACACCTGTGAGCGGAAACACGCGTGACGCAGGAGAAGTGGACAGAGGTTTCTTCTGGGGCAGGAGAGTGGATAAACTGCAATGAAAATTGAAAGAGATGGACCAGGAACCTACATCTCAGAACAGACGTAAGAGACCTATCCGTGACAATGTGCGGAGCTCATTTAAGTCCTGATTCAGAAAATGAAAAAAAAAAATCATGTTTGAAAGAACTGAAAATTTAAACAGTGATGACTAGATATTTGAGTATATTGAGGCTTTTTTTTTTTTTTGTGGTGGTGGTGGTAATAATATTGCAGTTGTTTTTTTTTCAGGGATTTGCTTCAAAAGAAAATGTGAGGGGGCGGACGGGGGGTAGGATTTAGATGAAACAAGATTGGCCAAGAGCTAGTAATTGTTGAAGCTGAACGATTCAGCTGAAGCTGAATGATAAGGGGGTTCATTATACGAGTCCACCTGCTATCGTATATGTTTGCATTTTCTGTAACAGAGAGGTAAAGACAAAAGTAGGGATGTGGGGAATAAAGAATTGGAGACAGCAGATACAGACAGCTCTCTCAAGGACTTCTGCTCTAAGGGAAGCAAAGAAAGGAGGTGGTAGCTGGAGGGCGGGGGGGCCAGGCAGCTTTTACTTCAGAGAGGGGCAACACTAAGGAAGGATCCCACCCTCCACTGACAGGAAAGAACCAGAGCGAGGGAAGGGCTGATGGCGCAGAGAAGGGGGGTCGCCAGAGTGACTTCCTGGCATAGGTGAAGGGATGGGATGAGCTGTGTGGTGGCGGGGCGCAGACGCCAGCGGCAGGTGGGGAAATGTGGCGGCTGCACGCAGAGGTGCTCACCGAGGTAGAATGTTAGGTCGCTAAGTGGGAGTCTGTGCGATGGAGCGAGGGAGAAGGGGAGTGGATGCACCGGGACACGTAGCTTGGACGCGGCACTGCGGCCCCACTGGAGGCTGTAGGCCACATTCCAGGGTACGTATGTGACAGTATGAACGACACGGGTCATCTCTAAGTGAAGGGCAGCAGGATGTTATCACACACGGCCAGACGGCTGGGAAAGCCCGGGAATCACGAGGGCAAAGGGTCCGGGACAGGAAGAGGCAGCAGTGGGGCTACCACCTTGGGGCCACAGCACACCCATGCCAGGCCCCAGGAGGGAGCGGAGGGCTGACAAGAGCAGGCTTCTGCTGGCCTCCACTGCACCCCTGCCCTGGGGACGGGCACATACCTTGGGCACCTCGCCCTTGCTCCCCGGGGGCAGCCGCAGGACCCAGAAGTTCCTGTTGCGAAGCAGGTTCTCCATGTTCTCCAGCCGCCGCTGCAGCAGCCCGTACTCCTGCAGCAGCGTCCCCAGCACGGCCCATTTGCCCTCCATGTGATTCCCAAACTCCACGGCCGTCTTCTCGCAGTCGGCCAGCTTCTTCTCGGCCGTCCCCGTGCGCCCCTCCAGGTTTAGCAGCTGGCTGGCTTGGGCATCCACCTTCCTCTCCACAGCTTGGATGGCCGCCACCACGGTCCAGAGGGAAATCTCGGCGGTGGGCAGCTGGGGCTCGCGCATCATGCGGTCGGGGAAGACGGGGGGCCGGTCTGGGAAGGGTGGGAACTGGAAAGGCACTGGCCGCCGCGTGTCCATGTCCCACTCCTGAGCCTGTGGGCAGAGGGAGAGAGTGGCCACCGGGTAAGACCCAGCTGAGCAGGAGGACAGCCTGGGGACAGGGGCAAGCAGCCAAGTGCCACGGACTTGCTTCTTCTGCCAAGCCCCACTCGCAGGCTGCCGCACCAGTGCCACCACCACAGCTGGAGCAGCTACCACCCTCCTCCTGCCCCCGCCTGCAGGGCCCGCCTGGCCACAGCGCCACCACCTGGACCCAAGGCTGCGACACCCGCCCAGAATGTCACACGCCATTTTCTTTGAGTAGAACGGCCGTTTCCTCCAGGGCTGGACTTCTTGATGAACTATGCATGCCTCACGTTTGGTGTGCGAAGTACGCGTTTTCACATCAGCTACCCTTTGCTAATCTCCCCAGCAATCTGTGAGCAGGTCTGGGCAGGAACGAGCATCTCTGCTTCGAGATGAAGACGCTGGGGCCCGGGAAGTGGCGGTCACTCTGTGGTGTCCACGCCCCTGCAGCAGACCCGTGAGAGCCGCCCCAGTGACCCGGAGCCCATCTCAATAAGTGCTGCTGCCTTTCCCTAGGCCAGCAAGAGGGACCCCAGGCCCTAGTGAAGGGCAGGGAGCAGCTGTTTCCCATATACCCTACAGATTCACAAATATTTCCCAAGACAAAAATAGGTTTACCAAAAACTGGTCCTTCACCAGGAAGCGGGGAGGGGTAGCTGCACCCCTAGGCCCCCAGGATGGGCTGAGAGAAAAAGCAGACCTCCTGGGCCTCCCTGCTTCCCAGGATGGGGTAGCGGGGAGTGCCCATGGCCTGGAAAAAAATTTTAAAAACCAGTTGCCATCAAGTCGACTCCAACTCATGGCAACCCCATGTGTGCAGAGTAGAACTGTGCTCCATAGGGTTTTGAATGGCTGATTTTTTGGAAGTGGATTGCCAGGCCTTTCTTCAAGGTGTCTCTGGGGCAGACTTGAACCTCCCACCTTTCAGTCAGCAGCCAAGCAGGTTCGCCATTTACAACATTAAAACCTGTTGCTGTTGAGCCAGTTCTAACTCATAGCAAACTTATAGGACAGAGTAGAACTGCTCCATAGGGTTTCTAAGGAGCGGCTGGTGGATTCGAACTGGCAACCTTTTGGTTAGTAGCCGAGCTCTCAACCACTGTGCCACCAGGGCTCCATTTACAACATTAGCGTCCCCTAGTGTTCCAGGGCAGAGCCCTCAGAGGAGGGGTGAGGCCTGTGGGTGCAGGCTGGGAGTGAGCCATGCTGGCCAAGAGCAAGGGTGAGGCGGTCAGCAAGGCACTGGTATCTGGGCGTGGACTCCACACTGTACTGGCACTCAGGGCTGATCAGCAGCACACCCTCTGTCCTGGAGACCTGAGGTGTCTGCAGCCCTCCCCTGCTCAGGGCAGTGATGGCATGCCCCCACCCTCACATTCAGAGCACTGTGACAGTGCAGAGGGTGCCCCACAGCTTCCTGGGGTGACTCTGTGACAGGGAGAAGGGCAGAGCCCTGGAGACCGCAGCAAGCCAGAGGGGCAATGGTTCTATCAAAGCCACTCACTGGGCCTGCAGAACGAGGTGGGGTGGCAGCGGGGGTCTCGGAAGTCAGAGGCCAACTTGGCGCTCACAGGCTTGGAGACTAACACCCAGAAATGAGCACACAGCACAGACAGGTGAGCAGAGCGGGGGTCTCAGAAGTCAGAGGCCAACCTGGCGCTCACAGGCTTGGAGACTAACACCCAGAAATGAGCACGCAGCACAGACAGGTGAGCAGAGCGGGGGTCTCAGTAGTCAGAGGCCAACCTGGCGCTCACAAGTTTGGAGACTAACACCGTGAAATGAGCACACTGCACAGCCGGCTGAGCAGAGCGGGGGTCTCGGAAGTCAGAGGCCAACCTGGTGCTCACAAGTTTGGAGACTAACACCGAGAAATGAACACACAGCACAGCCGGCAGAGCGGGGGTCTCGGAAGTCAGAGGCCAACCTGGTGCTCACAGGTTTGGAGACTAACACCGAGAAATGAGCACACGGCACAGCCGGCAGAGCAGAGTGGGGGTCTGAAGATCCAGCAGCGGCCGTGCAGATGCTTCCTAGAAGCTCTCTGGCCTCTGTCAGAACCTGCCTCCTCTAATTTCACACATAAAAGTTGCCTGCACAGCCCCAACGGTGAAGAGCAGCAGACGAAAGGCTGGGGTTGCAGAGCTTCCTGGTGCCTGGCCAGGGAGCAGCAGGACAGACCACCACAGACAAGACTGCAGAAGGCCCCCGGGCAGCGCCTCAGAGCCCAATTCAGGGCCGGTGAGGCAGGGCAGAAGGGGCGTAGTCTCACCCCCGCCATGAGAGTCGGTTGTTTTGGAATGAGGCTGGGGCATCAGGAGTCCTAAAAGCTGGCAGGCGATTCTAATTCTAACATGTAGCCCAGTCCACAGCTACTGGCGGAGGGAAAGGCCCTCTCCACTGCCCTGCCCTGCCCTGCCAGAAGCCAGGGCAAAGGAAGAGCCACTCACTTGTCATACTCTGTTACAGAGCGCAGTAGAACATCTCAAACAGGTCAGCAAACTGGTTACAGTGCAAGCACTGAGGAGGCATTTCTGTAGCACACGCACAGCCACCTGCGTACAAACATACACGCACACAAGCATATGCGCATAAACATGCATACGCTCACACTTGTGCACACACACAGGCATTTGTGCACATGCTCATACACGCACACTCGCCCACATGCACATGCAGGCACACAAGCAGGCGCACGCACACACGCGCACAAGGTACGAAAGCGCACTCACACAGGCACACGCGCAGGCGTGCACACTCACACAAGGCACACGCGTGCGCACACCCAGGCCCGGCGTCAGCTCCGCCGCAAGCCTTTTCCGCGGGCCCAGCGCGACGAGGCCGGGCCTGGTTCCGTGAAGGGCCCGGCTGGTGTCACGTCCCCCAGTGGTCGGCGCGCCGCGCCCGCGCTTGGCCTACGGGAGTCGCCGCTTCTCAGAGGCGGCTGGGCCGGAGCAGGGCGCGGGGCCGCCCGGAGCTCCACGCGGAGAGCGCACCTGCCTCCAGGCCTGCTCGGCTCCTGCACCGGCCCGCCTGGCCCGGGGTCCCACGTTGGCACGACCAGGGGCCGGCGAGGCTCTCAGGTCCCGGGCGCGCTGCATGGCGCCCGGCCGCACCCTGCACCCCCGCCCGCGTGCACCCCGACACCCTGCACCCCTGTCCGTGCGCACCCCGTACCCCCACACTCCGCCATCCCCGGCACCCTGGCACCCCGCACCCGGTGGAGCGAAGGCGGCCGCGGCCCAGCACGGGCGGCCGGGCGCGCGCCCACCTGCATTGGGGGTATCCCCTCGGCCATGTCCGCGCGCAGCGCCGGCTCCGGCGGGCACACCTCCTCCGAGGGAAGTGCCTGCGCCCAGCTCCAGCCGCCGCCGTCCAGCCCCAGGCCCTGGATGCCCAGCTGCTGAGGCTGCGGCCGTGTTGACACAAACTGCATCCTGGGAGCGCGGTTCCCCTCGCGGCCGGCCGCCGAGAAGGAGGAGGTTCCCCGGCGCTGTCCCCGCGCCGGGCGGGACAGCTCCATCTACAGCCCGAAGGAGCAAACTGCCCTCGGCGCCTGCCCCGCCCCGCAGCCCGCCGGGTCCCACGCGGCGCGGCTGGGGCTTTGCTTCGGTTAGGTCTGCAAGCGACCCAGGCACCCGGGCGGCGGGGCCGGCCCTTCCGAAAACCGTGCGAGAGTCTGTCTGTCCTCACACACGTTCTTCCTGCTTTTCCCCTTCCCTCCTCCCACCCCCTTTCCCTCTCCAAGCGTACTGGGGCCAACTCCCAGGGCCTGCACCACAGGAGTCACCTGGGCCCACGTGTCCCAAGAGGCCAGGGAAGGGGCGCCACTGCTCTCAGAAACCTTTAAATGCAGGTCGACGGCGCCTTTGAAACTTCAGGGTGAGTGTGAGGCCAAGGCGGGCTGAGGGCAACCCACAGGCATTACTGAGCTCTACTGTGTGCCAGGCACTGTTTAGGCAGAGGGTAGGCTTTGCAGCTGGATACACTTGGGCTTAAACTGCAGACTCGCCACGCGCCAGCTGTCACTTCACTTCTCTGAGCCTCACTCAAGCTCCCTCATCTGCAAATGGAGACAGCAACACATACTCCCCAGTTGTAAAGCCTGCCATGTAGGAGACAGCAAGGGTGGTTGTCCGTAAAAGGTAAGCCCCTGTGACTTCCCTCAAAGTAACATCACTGTTTTCCTAAATGGCCAGCCCTGTGTCACTGACAGGTCGCCAGGGCTTGTCACCCTGCACAGAGGTGACCGGGTTCAGAGCCATCCCAGGCAGTACCTTTAGCTCCACTGCACCAAGAGAAAGAGACATCTTCTTAGGGAAGTAAAGGCCGCTGGCAGCCCCCGTCAGACCTGTGGTGAGTGCACCACACTCAGAAGGATCAAGCACCCACCCGTCTCTGTGCCAGGCACCCTTCCGGGGCAGCCCGAGGCCTGGTGCACAGAGTCCTACCTTCCAGGAGCTCGCAGGCTGGCAGGCTCCTAGGAGTCAGCACATTCTCCCCTGGTTCCCTGGCCACAGGCTGCACCCTGAGTGTAAATACCACGTCCACTGCAATTAGAGGAACCAGGCAGGTAGAGTCTGAAAAGCTCCACCAGCGAGACACATCTCAGAGCACACCTTCTGATCCAAAGCCCGTCAGCCATCTTCCCTCCTTCCCAGCAGTGGACAGTGAGGCCTAGGTTACCCAATCATCTAAACCATCTTTTCAGTAAAAGCAGCATTTGAGCAGTTATAACTACTTCCCCTTCATGCTTATCTTTACAGCGAGCAGGTTTTCACACGGCCATCCACACCTTCACCCTGTGGCATAGCATGGCTGCCTAAGGCTGGAGGCTCAGCTCGTTGTCATATGAGCAAAGCTGTTCAACTCAGTCGGGATTTGAGTGCACGGGCTTCACTGTAGGATTTTAAACCACCAAGTCCAGCAAGTGCAGGCCATGGAGGCAGATACTGAATACAAGCAGAGGGTCATGAAGGGGGTGATTAAAGGGCACATCCCAGAAGGAAAATGGGAAGGGCAGGAGGAAGGATCACCGACCACGGTGCCCACCATGGCACTGCAGGGGCCAGTGGGCTGATGAGGCTGACTGTGCTGGAGGGAGACCCTGCCCTGGGAGAAGAGTCCCTCACTGGATGGGTGTCTGTGAGGCAGCTAATTCACGGAGTGGCTGCTAGAGCAACCGGGTGCAGTGGATTATAAATGCATCATTGTTAAAAGGCATTTCTTGAAAGGGAAACACTAGGCCAGGCCGCGAGACCTCTCAGATGGGAGCAGGTGGGGACTGGCTGCTTTTCATCTCCTCACCCAGGAATTCTGTAGCTGCTGCTCTGGACAAGGTGTCTGAAGTGATAGATGCTGAGCTGAAGGATGCAGGACAGGCCTAAGGAGAGGGATGAGGAAATGCCAGAATGTCGTCATGGCCACCGTCTCCTGAGGATTTCTGGTGCTGTGCGCTGTCTTCTCAACAACGACAAGCTTTGCGTGAGGAAGAAGACCTCTACATTTTCTCAGTTAAGTGAAGTGGGTAACCAGATCTGTGTCCTTCTATCTTGGGGTCTCCCCACGCCTAACTTAACACACAGGCTTAAGGACTACCAGAGTGAGGACAACACGGGGAAAGACCCTTCACCGGCACATCCATGGTTCCCACTTCCTGCATCCACTTCAGGACACTGTTAAATGCCAGCCTCCAAGGAGGGCATCTCCTTAGGTCACGTCCCACGTGACTGAAAACCAGAGCAAGGCTTTACAGAGGGGACAGGGTACTAGGGGTGGTGAGGTTCTAGGATGCTGAGAAGAGGCAGAAAGTATCAAGGTGGGGTCACAGTTACAGTTAAGGGCAATCTTGCCCTTAATGAGTTAATATCCCTAACTTTTTCGGACCCACCTTTTTGCCAACATTTTTGTTCAAACTCAAACATATACACATTCACTTCCTCTAACTTCTGATAATTCTGTATTTAAAGTTTGCAGAAAATACTAATTTTTCCCTTGTGTTTATTCTTGCCTGTTGCCATCAATTCTGGCTCACAGCAACCCTATAGGACAGAGTAGAACTGCCCCACAAGGTTTCCAAGGCCGTAATCTTTATGGAAGCAGACTGCCACATCTTTCTCCCACAGGGCAGCTGGTGGGTTTGAACCGCTGACTTTTTGGTTAGCAGCCAGGTGCTTCACCACTGTGCCACTAATGCTTCCAAGTTTATTCTTAGCCTGTTTCAATGAGATGGTGCAGGGCCAGGCAGCGATGCTTTCCGCTGTGCAGGGAGTCATTATGAGTCGGAGCCAACTCAGTGACAGGTGACAAGGGCAGCTTCAATGAGGCGTTTCCTTCGCCTTCTTTATAACCCTGGACGCTGTATGTGAGTGACGCTCTCTGGCTTCTTTCCCACTTCAACGACTCCATGGAACCTGTTTTCCAATAAATAGGTAACTTTGGGCTCTGAAACTCTATGCGGAAGACAGGTTTTACATTGATAATAATTGCAGTATATTCTCTTTGGTTTTCTCAACTTCTAAATGTGGATTTGATGACTAAAAATGTTCAAAACTCATTCAACATTAAGTCTGGTGCTCTTGCAGAATAATACTGATTTTTCTAAATGCAAAAAAGGTATTAAGACTGCATGTTATTGTTAAATCCAAGCTGGCAATGGTATCACCAAGGTCCCCTTTTGTTCTTCAGCAAATTCTGCTCTTACAGGGAGACGCTAGCCTAACAACAAGGTTAGCAAGTTCCACAGTGCAGGCATCAGGCAGCACTGTCATCTGTGCTCACTGATGTCCTGCCAGCGCTTGATACACTAGGTCTCTGGACACACCTTCAGTGGGCACAGCCAACATGGACACTGCTCCTCCCGTTACCTCTAGAGCCTCTCATTTAACTGACGTCAGTCAGAACTTGCTCAACAGTCATTCCATAGCCTTCTTTCTTCCCAAGTCCTGCCTTTAGAGTCAAATTATGACTTCCCAAACGGGATTCAAACAGCCTTTATAATCTCCAACCCACACCTCCCTGCTCCAACGGGTCATCTCCAGTCCAGTAATTCACACTCTCTCTATGCCCTTCTAAACCTGTGGGCACATTAGAATCACTTGGGGTAGGGGGAGTTTAAATCATACCAAAGTGGACTCCGGCCTGGATATTTCTTAAGCTCCCCAGGCCACTCTCATCTTCAGCAAGGTTATGAGAACCAGTGCACAGAGCTTCATGTTATTTCTCATGTCCTGTCTCAGCCCCACAAGACCACCCTGGGGAAATGAAACCCTAAATTACCACTTCTTGGTTAATAACATAAATATGGTTTAATATTCTCATTGTTTTTATCCTGCTGTTTACTCACTGAAGTGGCCTTGTAGCTATTTTAAAACTATTAAAAAAATCATAACCTCAAGGCTAAGAACTGATTTTATGTACATCCTTAATTTTGAATTTTGCGTATTTAACCCAACCTCTCCAGTAATACCCCTGCCTTCCTTACCCTGTTATAATTCTCCACGCACAAACATCAAATTGGTTGCCTTAACCAAGTGGTGGTAGAAGTCAATACATTATATAGGTCGACCTGATATTTTCTGCACTAAACTTTACTTTCACCCTCTGCCCACAACGTAATTCTGTTTCCCCCACTGCTCCCCAAACTGCAGTCTTGGCAAGCTCCCCCCGCAGCATGGGCATAAAAAATGCGAGCGAATAAACTACTACTGCCCAGTTTGAATGAGGAGAAGCACCAATGTCCAGGAAATTGTATAACCGGTCGACAAGTACTTCTTCTGTATCCAGTATATCCACACTCTTTCTTCTTACGCCTGCAAGACATGCTGGAAGCACTTTTATAAAAATTTGCAACGATCACCACTATTTATTTCCAAAACTTTTTCATCATCTCAAACAGAATCCAAGCACTTTCAACTATCTTTCCTCATTTAATCCTCACAACACCCTGTGAATGAGGTAAAGCAGGTACAATCCTCAGACTACAGATAAGTGGAGCAAGTTTAGAACCCTGGCCTCCTGAACTCCATTCAAGAACCGTTTTCATTACAATAATCCTTATTCTTATAAAACCATTAAAAGCACATTTTAAGTAGTGTTATTTCATTACAGCATCCCTGGGTGGCACAAACAGTTAAAATATTTGGCTGCATGGTAGTCAAAACAGCCTGGTACTGGTAGAGCAACAGATACATAGACCAATGGGACAGAAATGAGAATCCAGACACAAATTCATCCACCTATGAGCTGCTGATATTTGACAAAGGCCCAAAGTCCATTAACTGGGGAAAAGACAGTCTCTTTTTGTGCTGGCATAACTGGATATCCATCTGCAAAAAACTGAAACAAGACCCACACCTCACACCATGCACAAAACTAACTCAAAATGGATCAAAGACTTAAATATAAAATCGAAAACGATAAAGATCATGGAAGAAATATAGGGAAAACGCTAAGAGCCCTAACACATGGCATAAACACAATACGAACCATAAGTAACAATGCACAAGCACCAGAAGAGAGACTAGATAACTGGGAGCTCCTAAAAATCAAACACCCTTATCAAAAGCCTTCACCGAAAGAGTAAAAAGGCAACCTACAGACCGGGAAAAAATTTTTGGCTACAACAAATCCGATCAGTGTCTAATCTTTAAAATCTACAAGATACTGCAAAACCTCAACAACAAAAAGATAAATAACCCAATTAAAAATGGGCAGAGGATATGAACAGACACTTCGCCAAAGAAGATATTCAGGTGGCTAACGGACACATGAGAATTGCTCACGATCATTAGCCATTAGAGAAATGCAGATCAAAACTACAATGAGATATCATCTCACCCCAACAAGGCTAGCATTAATCCAAAAAACACAAAATAATAAATGCTGGAGAAGTTGTGGAGAGACTGGAACACTTATACACTGTTGGTGGGAATGTAAAATGGTACAACCACTTTGGAAATGAATTTGGGGCTTCCTTAAAAAGCTAGAAATAGAAGTACCATACGATCCAGCTATCCTGCTCCTTGGAATATATCCTAGAGAAGTAACAGCCACCACACAAATAAATATATGCACATCCATGTTCACTGCAGCACTGTTCACAATATCAAAAAGATGGAAACAACCTAGGTGCCCATCAACGGACAAACGGATAAACAAACTATGGTATATCCACACAATGGACTACTACGAAATGATAAAGAACAACGATGAAGCCATGAAACATAATATGGAGGAAGCTGGAACTCATTATGCTGAGTGAATTTAGTCAGTCACAGAAAGACAAATATAGTATAAGACCACTATTATAAGAACTCAAGAAAAGGTTTAAACACAGAAGAAAACATTCGATGGTTACGAGGGTGGGCAGGGAGGGTGAGGGTTATTTACTAACTAGATAGTAGGTAAGAATTATCTTAGGTGAAAGGAAGGACGGCACACACTACAGGGCAAGTCAACACAACTGGACTAAACCAAAGCTAAGAACTTTCCTGAACACAATCAGACACTTTGAGGGACTAGCAGGCGTAGGGGTCTGGGGACCATGCTTTCAGGGGACATCTAGGTCAATTGGCATAACAAAGCTTATTAGGAAAATGTTCTGCATCCTACTTTGGTAAGTGGCATCTGGGGTCTTAAAAGCTTGCAAGCAGCCATCTAAGATGCAATCAATTGGTCCCACCACCTGAAGTAAAGGAGAATGAAGAACACCAAAGATACAAGGGAAGTATTAGCCCAAGAGACAGAAAGGGCCACATAAACCAGAGACTTCATCAGCCTGAGACCAGAAGAACTAGATGGTGCCCAGCTACCATCAATGACCACCCCGACAGGGAACACAACAGAGTCCCGGATGGAGGAGAAAGGTGGGGTGCAGAACTCAAACTCTAGTAAGAAAACCACACTTAATGGTCTGAGACTGGAGGAACCCCAGAAAGCATGGCACCTGGATTCTCTATCAGCCCGGAACTATAAAACAATTTCCGAGGCTAACTCTTCAGACAGGGATTGGACTGGACTGTGGGACATAAAGTGATACTCGTGTGGAGTGTGCCTCTTAGCTCAAGTAGATACAAGAGGCTAAATGGGCAGCTTCTGTCCAGAGGTGAGATGAGAAGGCAGAGAGGGTCAGAAGCTGGTTGAATGGACATGGGGAATCAGGGGTGGAAAGGAAGAGTGTGCTGTCATAGTATGGGGAGAGCAATTAGAGTCACATAACAATGTATGTATAAATTTTTTCATGGGAAAAAACTTAAGAAATAATAAAAAAAAAGAAAAAAAAATTGGCTGCTAAAGAAAAGGTTGAAGGTCCGAGTCCACCCAGAGTGCCTCAGAAGGCTTGATGATCTACTTCTGAAAAATCAGCCCTTGAAAACCCTGTGGAGCACAGTTCCGCTCTTACACACACAGGATCGCCATGAGTTGAAACTGACTAGACGGAAACTGGTTATTGGTATTTCATTATATACAATGTACAGGAAAAAATAACCACTGAATGACTCCACTATCCACAATCGTCATTATTTTGGTGTGTTTTCCTTTCATTTCCCTATCCACAAAAAAAAAAACAAAAAACAAAAAACTGCAACTTACACCTGTAAAAAGTTGAATTGGCAAAAGTTGTGTGATACATTTACAATGATAAAAAAAAAAGAGTAGCTGCTGAGCCTGCTTATGTATAACCAAAAGCCTCATGTGATTTGGTTTCTTCGTTTGGAAGTTTAGGGTCATGCTTTCATGGGACATCCCAGTTAATTGGCCTAATAACTTGTTTAGTGATTCTGTTCTACCTTCTAATTGATTGCATAGTGCCTGGGGTCTTAAAAGCTTGCAAGCGGCCATCCAAGGCACAACAATTGGTCTCTATTCACCCGGAACAACAGACAGAGGAAGAAAGGGCCTCAGGAAGAGGAGGAGGAAATAGAATGTGTGGCTAACCCCATGAAAAACTGCCTCCTTTGCCATGAGACCAGAAGTAGATGGTGCCCGGCCACCATCACTGAACATTTAGATCAAAGGTTCTATAGAAGAATCCTGATCAAAAGGGGGAAAATGCAGAATTTCAAATTCTCATGGACTCCAGTCTTTCTGGAGCCACGAACGCTAGATGAACCCCTGAAACTACTGCCCCGAGATAATCTTTAAACCAAAAATATACCCTAAAATCTTCTTAAAACCAAACAAACTCTCCTGGGTGGCTTAATTTTTCAATCTGTCAAGATTCTGCTGTGAATTCTGGCTTTGCTAGTAAACAAACACGAAGCCACATAAGCTGAGCTTTTAGCATTTTATTTGAAATGTAACCTGGCATTCTCTGAAAGGATTGCTGCCCCCTGCTTGTAGGGCTTCTCTGACTGGGCTGTAGCCATCTGCCTTCTTCGGTGGTTTTAGGATTAAAATAATTGTTTTGAAGAAGCCATTTAATTGACCAAGTTGATACACATTAATTCTGTTGTGTGTGTATGAGTGACTGTGGCCTGAGCTGCTCATTTAAAGAGAAACTAGAGCCAAAAAGGGAGGAATAACAGGCTAGAAAGTGACAAATTACTGCTTTTGCAAGATCCAGTAACAGCACCTTCTAGGTCCTTTATGCAAGAGACAATGAGCTCTGGTCTGTGATGGTGCACATAAGGTGGAAATCTTTTAAGAAACCCTCATATAGGTTAAACAGATCCTCTCCCCTGCTGGCAGTACTAGAGATGCTACTCTGCCACCATGCGCCCATTCCCCAGTGAATCCACTGGGCCGTGTGACTTCCCTCCCCACAACAGCTGCCTGAACCAAGATAAGCACTAACCCAAGGGAAGCCAAAGCAAGGGACAACCCAAGGGCTGGCTCAAAACTTCTGTGGTCTGGTATAGAAAGAGGAGCTAGGCCACTTCCTTCTCAGAATCTGAACTAAGAAAAGCCGAGTCAGAGCCACACAATGTCACGGCACACAGAAACCTGGGGAACCGTTAAGTACAGAAGACAAGAGTAAGAGTACACTAAATGGAAGCAAAGGACGACAGCAGGTAAAGAGCTGAGGCATCAAGTAATCGTGCCCAGCAAGCCAGAGAGCAGCCACCTCGTGGAGTGCCCGTTTCTCGACACTTTCCACTTGGAATTCAGCCTGGTCTTACCACCTTCTGGTCCTGTAAAATCTTTCCCAGCAGCCACCATCCTGAGCACCTTCTAAGTGTTGGGCTCTGTGCTAAATACCTTACACAGGTTTCCTCCTAACCCTAACACCTCTGAGACATGGGTGTTATCCCTATCTTACAGGCAAGTAGACGGAGGTGGTTAAGTAACACACCAGTTGTTACCAATGATGAAGCCAGGGTTTGAATCTAGGTCCAACTTGAGTCTATGCTTCTAACCACTTAGCTGTACTAACCCACCCATATCCTTATGTTAAGGCCTCATGTGCTCCCCCCTCCCCCAGTCTGACCTAACTTGAGTATTTTTTGCTTGTAAGAGCCGGACATATCCCAAGATGAAGAAAGGCCCTATGTGTAAATCCTATGAAAAGTAGTGGTCGCTTCCTTGGCTACAAGAACTAGAGTGAAGAGATCAGGGTCATAGGCATCCACCAAGCACGCAGGCATCCACCAAGCACGCATAACACACATAATGATATCAGAGGTCCTCTCCCATAGAGCTTTTCTTTTTTTAAAAGGCTTTTACTCATTGCTTCTGAACAACCCTCAGGCAGACGTTATTGTCTAAGAAGCTATGATTGAGGGAGAGGGGAAGAATCTGAGCTGAGAGGAAGTATTTGTGATCTCAGGTCCTTTCTATCAACAAGGCTTCTGCAAATTGAGACAGTGAATGTTTGTTACTCCCCACTAGGCCCAGGATCAGGTGCTGACTGCAATGGACATGGACACCCACGTCTCTTAAAGTGCTCTGAAAAGAAGCCCAGCAGAGCCCCCCAACAGGGACTCTGCAGACTTCCTTATTAATGTGGAGGGAAGTTATGTGGAGCACTGCTCCAGCTAGCGTCCAGCTCAGGCATTTCCAGCATCAAGCCAGCAGAGAAGGATTGCAGTGACCTTCCTCCACTTTCTGTATAAGCAATCAGCTTCCGCTTAGTTCCAGGTCTGTGGCTGAACCAGAGGTTCATTCACTGGTGCCAACAAAGAACTTAGTAAGCAGGGTGAATTTGGTTATGTTGAACACCTGGATCCCCTAGCCATTCCAATGTTCCAAGAGGTCAAGGAGATGGTACCTATTTGTGACAGAGCTGACTTCTCAGCCCGGAGGCAGACTTCCAAAAAGCCTATGTCTGGGTTTTCCTCTTTCCTATTTTGTATGGTCACGGAAATCCATCCTCAGGTTCTTCTTCAACTCCAGAGTTAAACACAATTTCTCTCAGGAACCCTCAATGGGCCAAGAGGTTCTTCTCCATACTGAACTTTTCTGTTGGAGCTTAGCTTCTCTTTTTCACTGATCCATTTTACTTATACACCTTTGAATCTTAAGCAAACAAACTCTTTAGAGCTGGCCTGGAATTCTACCCAGTGGGGACTGATGCAGGGAAAGGAGAACAGAATGTATGTGGCTGAACTCCCTGGTCTGTACCAGGGCTGAGGGTTAGGATTAACACCTATTCTGTCCTTCTGGGATGGCCTGCACATTCCCTTACATTCAGCTTCATGGCTTTTCCTTAAAAGACTGGTATTTGGGCTATGTTCACTTCTTGCCAAAGTTTGGATCCCTGCTGGCTATAGTTCCTTCCAGAATGGGTGTGGAAGTCACCTGCAGCATTTTTATCCACAGGTGTTTTTCACTGATAAGCTCTGCCTAAAAAGGAATTTTAGGTGTTGTCTAGTTCAACATCACACCTGATGTAGGAATTCCTCCTCCAGCACACTCTAGACAAATGCTTGAATCCATTCAGAAAATGGATTGGCCAGCTACAGAGTACTTTTCATTTCTCTGCATTTTCATGAGGGTAATCAAGGTACAACAGGGCGGAGTCTAACACTCAAGTTCCTAGTGGGTCACCCATTAGGCTGGAACCCTGCCTTTGGGATTCCCAGAACACCTGAGTTTTCCCATGATGAAGGTTTAGATTTTGGCTAGAAAGCTCTTAATCCTAATATGCCAGGGTTCTGCCCTTAATCTGTCTTGGTTTGTTCTAAGTACCCTTGGGCTTTTTGCATCACCTCAGACTGTAAGTTATGACAGCAGACTGAGTCTCCCATATGTCTGTCTTCCATGGTTCCTGGTACTGTGAACAGCATGTAGCAGATGCTTTATGATTATCCTGAAGAGTAGCATGTTCAGACAGAGCCTTCCTGGAGCAAAGACAGCTGGGGCAACACTTCTTCCTAGGCCGGTTACACACAGCTAGGCGGGGTGAAACGCTGGGCCAGGTGATGAGGAAAAGAGTCTCTCCCTTATCACTTCACCAAAAGTGTCCTGTCTAAATCCTCGACCTGGTTCCAGGCATCATAGAAAGATTCAAGGGAAACAAAAGAGCGCAGGAATAAATAACTTTTCTGCCTAAGACAGGGCTTCTGCCTTCTCTTTCTGTCTTCTCCCTCAGGCTTGAAGCAAGAGTAAAACAAATCAAAATGATTTTAGTCAAGTTTCAGCAAGAATTTCTCTGCTTTGATTTTGCTGTTTTATTTGGCTTTGCCTGGACAGAAGCCACAGATATAGACAGGATTTTGGCAAGAGAAGGAATGTATTACAAGATTCTTATTATAATTTTTTTTTAGTTTCTAGAGGCTCATTTTTTTTCAACAGCCTCATTTTGCAGATGAAATTTTGAGATCTGTAAAGGGAAAGGGACTTACACCCAGTCATAAAGCCATTTAGGAGCAGGACCAGGCTCAGATGTTCCCAGGAGACTGAATGACTGAAAAAGGAACACATGGCAGCCAAGGTCCCTAAAAGCGAAACAAACAGGAACAGGCCGTCCTTGTCTATGCACAGGTCTTAGCTCTAAGTTGTCTAGAAAGCTCCTCAGTCTGTCCATTGTCAGTAGGGTACAGCCAGATGGGGTGAACATACACTCTCTGATGGCTCAAGAAAGCTGTGTTACCACACTATTATCATCTCACTACTTAGGAAGTGGAAGATGAGAGTCCCACTGGTGCTTTCAAAACTCCATAACGCTTCTGGAAAGTTCTGGGATCTTTCCTGCTGATGGCTGTCAGGAGTATCAGACATCAGGAATGGAAAAGCCAGCTTACTGGCTTGGAAAAGAATTTGATGCAAGTGATTAAGAAACACGGTTCAGACACAAGTTTTCAGGCTGTTCTGTCAGTGATATGCTAGCTATTTTATATCTCTAGCTTTTAAAGCTGGGGCTGAGAACACTTTCTTAACCAATTTCTTAACCAGGACCTTGGCAGAGGTATCTAGAAGTTTAAACGCCAGTTACGAGCCTGAACGCTTCAAATCAAGCCAGTGAAAGTAAAGAACTGCTCTCCTTAAAAAGCTTTTAAAGTCAGATTTCTTGTTCACCCAGTATTAAACACAATATATTAGAAGAATTAACCTAGGAAACTTAGTTTTGAGTTAGCACGTTTTAGGGAAAGGCAGCTACACAGGTTTGTGAACAGATCTCAGGTGGAATCAAGAGAAGCATGGAAGTAACATAACAGAGACTTAACAAGCACCTTCTTCCAACCACCACCTTACCTATCAAGGAATTACAGAAAAGCTTTAGTTACTCTTTCTCATGTCTCATGACCGGCCTCGAGCTTTGGAGGCACTCCTCACGTACCAGTCTCTACCCAGAGTTGCAATCTGTCACTAGCCTGTTACCCCCTGATGGATTACCAGTGGCCACATCTTGCTTTTCAGCCTCTCTGCAACATTCTTCTATCTCCTGCGTATGTGATATCTTTGAAAAGATGGGGATGTTGGGCTCCTTTCCAGGTCTCTCTGGGCTTCAAAATGTAGTGTTCCTATAACGTGGTGAAGTTCCAGAACTCCAGCCCGTCGGGTCAGACGTATAGGACCTCAAATTCACTGACATGCCTGGTAATCATCATTGCAGGGCAAGGGGCTCATGGGGTTTCTCGGACTTTCTGCCTGCTGTGAGCTTGGGGAACCATGAAATGACAATCACAAACCCCCTCCTCCACTCCCTTCCCCATACCAACGGCTGGCCTCGTTAACACCCAGGCCAGGGGTCTCGAGCTCAGTTATGAGGGGCCCAGGCGGGTCAGGCGGCTGTGTGGATGGATCACCATCGCCCGCACAGCTGCCACCGTGGCCCGACCGCAGGTGGTCTTTGAGGGTCTGTTTGTAGCGAAAGCTCCGGCCACAGTGAGTGCAGGGGTAGGGCCGCTCGCCCGTGTGGATGCGCTGGTGCTTCATGAGGTGGTGCTTGCGGATGAAGCTCTTGCCGCAGTGCACGCACGGGAAGGGCCGCTCGCCCGTGTGCAGTCGCTGGTGGTTCAGCAGGTGCTCCTTGCGCATGAAGCTCTTGCTGCAGTCGGCGCACGGGTAGGGGCGCTCGCCCGTGTGGATCATCTGGTGGCGGATCAGCGCCGAGTGGCCGTTGAAGTCGACGCCGCACTGGGGGCAGGAGAAGGGCCGCTCCTGTGCGTGGCCCCGCTGGTGCAGCAAGAGGCTGATCTTCAGGCTGAAGCTTCGGCCGCACTGGGTGCAGCGGAAGGGCCTCTCGCTGGCATGGGCTCGGCGGTGGCTGGTGAGCCGGGCCTGGTCGGCAAAACGCTTGGGGCAGTCGGGGCAGGGGAAGGGGCGCTCGGCACTGCTGTGCACCCGGAGGTGGTAGGTGAGCCGAGACGGGTGAGTGAAAGTCCGGGCACAGTGTGGGCACGTGGGGGGGGGCTCGCGGGCAGGGTCCTGGGAGCTGCCAAGGCCAGCGGGCTGTGGAAAGTGCTTGGGGCACTGGGCGCAGGGCGGGGGGCACTCTCCGGCATGGCTGCACTCGTGGGTCGGCGCCGCCTCCCGGCCGAGGCTCTTGCCACAGTGGTGTCCTGAGAACACCTGCTCCCCGGGGGGCGGCGGCAGGGGGTAGCTCCCCAACTGGGTGAAGGTCACCGGTCCCTCAGAGGCTTCAGCCAGGTCAGCAGCTGGACGTCCGAAGGACGTCATGGGTGCAGACTGCTGGCCTTTGAAAGTCACATCTGGGAAAGCGTCCTTTGCCGTGGTTGCTGAAGGAGAGGGGAAGGTGACGGGAACCTCAGGGCACAGGGGCGCGCCAGCAAGGTCTTCCGCTTTGACCACTAGCTCCCCCTCTGAAAGAAAGGAAGGAAGAGTTATGCCTGAACCCAGCGGCTGGCCAGCTCTGACAGGCTGCCTGCACCCTCAACTGGCTCGGGCAAGACACTCAGTGGAGGCTGAGATCAGATCAGGTGCCTGCAGTCCCGACAGCAAATCGTCAGACAAGCCAAAGCCGTACCTCTTAGATGTTCTCTATTTGGAAAAGCAAGAACCTTGGTGTCAACCTTCCCAGCATTATTTCAATGTTTCTTCTCTGCCCAAGCGCTCTGCAAGATTCTCCGCTGCCCACTGCGACAAAGGCTGACGTCGTGCATTTACTTCCTCCTGCTCCTCTCAGTTCCACCAGGTAAGTCCTTCCTTGCTGTCAGCTGTCTCCATACTTCCCCTACAAAGAGCACTGTACGTGCTTCCAAATCTTTGCTCATCCTGTCCTTTCTGTGGCATACACTGCTCTCCCCTCTTCCCAAACCGCACCCAGCCCAGTGCACCGACCTTCCAAGACCCACTCTGGCTTCACAACCCTCTTCAGGCCTTATCTAAATGCCTAAACCAAGCTCGTCGTTTCTGTTATACAAACTGTTCACCCTCCATTCCAGCACTTACAGTGCGTATGCCTGACATTGACACGAGTCCCCTATGTCGCCTCCTGAAAAGAAGAGATGTCATGTTTCCCATTCGGGCCTCCCACAGTCTAACAGAACGCAGGAAAGATGTTAACTAACAAGCTGCATTAATGTATCTAAGCTACCAGGTCCCTCTGGACCTTGAGATTCTCCTCCTATAATTCAGATGGCAAAACGCAGAGGGTGCCACCCATCTGAGGAGGAAGTGCTCCAATGGACATTTCTGTCTCCCTGGCTGCTCTCCCCACCCCATCCCCATTTTTGTTCTATCCTTTCCACACAATCTTCAGATCTTCTGTCTTTCCCCACCCTCACGCTTTTGTATGTACTTGTTTTCCTTCCTCTGACAATTCTAATTTGTCTTTGCCCTTAAGTGTTTTCTTGCTCAAAATTTCCATTAATAAACTTCCAGCTTCATTTCTAACTTACTCAATTCTTGAACCTGTTCCCCCACCCTCCCTTCCCTCCACAGCTCCATTCCAGCCGCTCTTTCTTTGTCAGTCCTGGCCTGGGCCTGAGCATCTCTTCAGCACGTCACTCACCTCCACGGGCACGTCACTCACCCCCCTAGAGGCACGTCACTCACCCCCCTACAGGCACGTCACTCACC